AAATTTGTTTCTATAAATTATAAAGAAATGAATATTGTTTCGCATGCATGTAAATTTATTTTTGAAAGTTCCTTAATATGCAAGTGATGATGCATATTATGCAAGCAACAACTTCCAAATAAATAATCATTGTTTTTAATCAAATTTGTTAATTCTTTTTTATGTTCATTGTAAACCTGACTGGCTGATAAAGTCAGTTAAAGATGTTAAGTTTATTAAAGTGGTTTTTTTTTCCTGGATGTTTGGTAATTGTGGGGAGGATTTATTGGATTTGGATATTTTCATAATTATTATTTATTATTATTTAGTACAAGGTCTTTTACCCTTTGTACAGGGAAGAAAGTAAACAAAATAACAAAAAAATAAAGCAAACAGCATTGTACAAAATATACTATTTTCTTGTAAAAAAGGGCTGGCAGAAATTACAATTTAATAAAGTAAAATTTCATTAAAAATACTAGTCGTATCTTGCTTGCCATGTCCAATCACCTGGAACAACCATTCTTCACTGCAGAGATGACCTTTCTTTGTACGCTACCTACAGCTCTGCACAAATATGTAAAATAGTCTAAAATGTCCACAGGTGACAATCCCAACACAATTAAAAATATAACATTTTCTTGTAAAAAAGTTAATTGTGTTGCGATTGTCACCTGTGGACATTTTAGACTATTTTACATATTTGTGCAGAGCTGTAGCCTACAAAGAAAAGTCATCTCTGCAGTGAAGAATGATTGTTTCAGGTGATTGGACATGGCAAGCAAGCAAGATACGACTAGTATTTTTAATGAAATTTTACTTTATTAAAAAAAATATACTAGTCAAAGTACAAAATTATTAATCAATACAATATCCATTACATCAAATACAATATCTATTACATAAATACAATAATCAGTGCATAATTACAATTTCCAATACCTAAATAAAATTACCAGTACATCGATACACAATCCAATACTTAATAATTAACATACAGTATTCCATACATACAAAAATTAACATAAACAAACTGTGACAAACTTTATTTTTTTAGGACCCCATGCCATTAAAAAATAAAAAGCAAAAATAATAATAAATTTTAATTGCAATATTACCTAGAAAATATGCAAAATTAAAAAATATACAAAATAGCTTGGCAAAAAGTTGTCACTGCCAGTCAGCCCCAAGAGACCTGAAATTGATGCATTTTTAATACTAAATGACATGGATGCCCTTTAAAATACAATTCAAGCACAGGCTTTATAAAAAGGAGAAATAAAATAAAATATATTCAACACGTTAGGAAAGGTATAAACTTAAATTTGAAAAATCTGCTTGAGACAATTATATCTTACTGACAAGGCTGGATTTGAGGCGATTGGTGCAAATCGCTCCAATTGCCTCAAATCCAGCTGGACATCAAAATCCTGCTGGACGTCAAAATTTATATATTTAAAAATAGTTTCAAATTACAGAATAGATTAAACAGTTTAGTGATCATGTTGATTAAGAGTCAAGAAGCAAGCCAGTTGGATTTTGACACTGTTTTAAAAGATTTTACAGAACAAAAACTTCGGAACATATAAAACGTCTCTTTATAGGTTTATATTCAATAAAATTCAGTTATATTCATTCATCAACACATTAAAAGATTTTTTATGGCAAAAATTTATGTAGTTATATTCATTTAAAAATATAGAAATACTAAAACGTATCTATGTATGTTTATATTCAATAAAATGTAGTTGTATTTATATTTGGTACATGGTATATTTGGTATATTTTTTTAATGTAGAAATTTGTCTACCTTATGGTTCATGAGTTTTGATTTTTATAATTGGATTTTGGATTTAAATAAATATTTAAAATCTATATTTCAATATGTAAATTAACTGTTAATTCATTTTGTTATTTGAGGGGCCCTGCAAAAAAATTCAATCGGGCCTCGCACCTATTGCATTCGGCCTTGCTTACCAAAATATTATTTTCGCTAGTATGCAAACTTAGAACAAACAAAAGATTTATTTATTGAAAATGTTGCCTTTCTTAATTTCCATATATTATTCAATTTTTGTCATCATCAAGAATAAAAATTCTTAAAAACCCTTTACAAAAAACCTTTATTATTGTTATTTATTGTCATAAATGACAATAAATAATTGCCATTTATGAAAATGCTAGCATTTTTGTAAATGACCAATCACTTAGCAGATTCAGACTTAAAAGTTTATTTTTAGGATTTTATTCGTTTATAGCTATTACTTTGGACTTATCATACCGTGATTTCTTAAGGGAAAAAAACCAAGTTAAAAAATTGTGGTCTGATAAGTCTGAATTAATAACTGAAAAATTTGTAGCTATAAAATAATAAAATCCTGAAAAAGATAAAAGGACTAGAAACTATTCAAATAAAGATTAAAAGTTTATATTCGTTATCATGGGTATCTGCAGATGGCGCATATGGGACACTCACCCTTCCCTGATATTGAACAAAAATTCCACAAATTATAAAAATATATTGTAAAACTTATCTATATATATAAAATTGCTTGTCCTGACTGACTCACTGATTCATCATCGCCCAGAGCAAACCGCTGGNTCAATATTTAAAATAAGTATCTTAATTTAATTATATAACAGCTGACAGTTTTATTAACATTTAAATTTCAGTTAGTTAATTAAATTTTAATTTAATTACTTAAACATAATGTTTGTTAAAATGAAATTTTTTGATATGATGATCTTGGTTCATTGTCAGTTGTTTAATACTTTGTTTAAAAATTATATTAATAGATAATATATTAGAACTAAATTGAATTATTGTTTGATATGAAGACAGTTATTTTTATTATGATTTTTCTCATTTAATAATTAGTAACCTTTGATATTAAAAATATAATAAACCAATCACAGCAGAACTATAAAATATATAATGAACAACTTGTCTTCCAATTTTATGTAATGAAAAAATTAGTAAAACTTAAAAATGTGGTTTTTAATTATTTAAATATTGTCAACATATTTAATTGTTTAATGAAATTGATGATTAAACACAGTGGTATAGTACAATTAAAAATATGAAAGATAGGCCCATATCTTTACCCTGAAAATATTGTAGTGTGTACTGATTATTGATCTCATACTCTTATTAATATTACCTGTTTACCATCTGTGGATTTAATGTAAAAAACATTCTGGCAAGATTATAATTTACTAGCTCTATTGAATAACTTTCCACTTGGCTGTGTATTTTAAATATTGACTGCTTTTTCTGTTTTTATCCAAAGATTATGATTATGTATTGAAATAAAAAAAAAACCAAACATCCAGCAGTTTAAAATCTTAAACTTTAAGGTCAAAACAAAAATGAATGTTTTCAGTTGTCTCAAACTACCATCCTTAGATTTATAACTGTATTTGAATATGACAAGTGCTATCGAATGTAAAGTTTAAATTCTAAAAAATTCTTTTATAATAGAAATGTCATGTTTAAATATATTTGTAAATGTGAAGATATTTGTTTAAGATGACAAAATTGTTTGTTTTTATTTAACATTAAAGTTTAAGATTTTAACTGCTGGATGTTTTTTTTCATTTTTGTGTTTTCATTTTTCTAGTTTGAAGAGGAAGTAAATCTATTTTAAAATTTTGCAGTTTTGCAGATGAAAAACTTAGAAACTGGTTGAATGAATTTTAAAAAATATAAATTTTATAAATGTGTGATTTTTATATTTAGACCTCTAGGTGGTAATATATATAATGATCTACTTAACATGTTTTTAAAAATCCATTTTCAAATTTTTATTTTTTTAAAATACATTTTGACATTTGAATTTTTATTTTTATTAGACTAATCTTTTTACTCCTAAAGATAAATTGTAAAACTTGAGAATGCTACATTTGCAAAAAGTATGGTTATTTATTAGCAAGTCCAAAAGACAAAATTTTCTTCATTTGTAATGGTACTTTGAGTTTGAATTCTTTCATTTGATTGTGATAACTATATACAGATTAATAATATTTCTATTGAAAATTGAAAGTATCAGTTGACATTGCTAGGATTATAGTTTTTATATATGAAATTATATGGTATGAGACATCAATATGTAAAAATATAACTAAATATATCAAACAAAACCTTGATATTTGCAGTAAATAATTTAATGTAAATTCAACAAATGTTTTTGATCTTACAGAAGATTGGCTTCAGGTCAACAACATTCTATATTGGAATAAACAAGACTAATTTTAACATTTTAAAATTTTTTGGAGTAAAATTTAAAGATATAAAATATAAAATTGAATAAATGAAGGTTAGGTTGCCCATTAACATGTATAAAATAGATTCAAATATGAGAAATAATTACACATAAATATACTACAAAAATAATAACTAATTATGTTGCTTTGTTGCATCTTAATTTACTTACATTGTAGTGTTGTTGAGATTATTTACCTTATTTTTGTTTGTGCAATTGTTATTTACTAAGTGTTATTTTTAATAGTTTTATATATTTTATTTATATATTTTACACTATTTTTATATTTTACTACTACATTTATTTATCTAAGTCTCAACTGTTATTTTGAAACATTTATTATTATTCATTCTTTTTTAATGTTTTTTGGAATTTTAAATTTGAGTATTTTTGTACAAGATGATCATTATTAAAGAGTAAGTGTTCAGAGCTCTTTGCTGAAAGAACTGTTGGGCAAATTTCAACCAAACTTAGGATACATACTGTCTTGAGTAAGCAGTTTTAACTTTTAGAAACATTTTTACTTCAAAATTCAGCAGCTAGAGTGAAATTTGGCAGTGTTGTTTTATTATATACATTTTCTAATAAATTTTAGGAGTTAAGAAATATGCAGTTATTTTATTTTAATTACAGATCTGATTACAGATATGGAATGTAGAATTGACAATTACATCAAAGATATGGCTTTATGTGCCCTCTGTCTTTAGGGTCTTTTTAGATCCTAAAGACAAAGGGCTGTAGAAACTGTATTCATTGTATGCACACTTGATGTTAGAATGCAACTAACTTGAATAGAGTTGTTGTATATGTGAGATTAGCAGTGGGCCACTGGGCTCATCCCAAATGACCACTTACTCTGCAACAGGTTGGTAAAACCCGTTCTTGGCTTGTCGGATGGCTAGGAGGGCAAAAATTTGAGTGGGGAGTGCGTTGGTAAGTCGGCAGGTGTCCTTCAGAGACAGGAGACAGGTTTAAAAACTAAACAAGCATTTATTTATATAAGTAAGCTAGGATACATAGGTTAAATGTGATTAAATAAGTTCACTATAAAACAGGGACGCTCTAATAGCTTTACCTGCTAGTCTGAGAGAGCGTTCACAAAGCTCTAAAAGTACAAATACCTCTATGCGGATATGTCTAATATGTGTTTGTTGAATAGGTTCGTTAATGGCGATGGAAGTTCAAATGACTGTGGTTGGTCGTATGTTCTTTTGTTCCAGAGTATGGAGACAAGTATGGCACATCTACCAAGTATAACTTCCGAGGGATTGCCCAGAGCTTTCGGGGACTTGAGCTTTTATACGTTATTCATGGGAAATGAGTCACGTGATCGACTTCTGTTGACACTTATGGTGCATTCCGATCAACTAACTGTCAACTTTCCCACCATAATGTGAAAACAATCGGTGACCTCCGATATATCAGGTCAGTCCATAAGTTCGTGCGTATTTTTTGACCTTGAGAAAAATCTTGTTTTGCTGTTAAAAATGCCAGTCTAATGTGATACTTTTTACACTGAAGTGTTAAATTGGATCTCATTCATATAATACGTTCAGAATTGGGAACATTTCAGTTGTTTATTTTCGTTAAAATGGAAGTAACAGATGAATATAAGAGACATGTTTTATACTTTTTATTTTTAAGTGATGAGAATGCTACAAATGCAGCCAAAAAATTAAATACTGTTCATAATCAAACTGTAATAAGTGTAAAGACTGTGCAGAAGTGGTTTGAAAGATTTAGAAATAATGATTTTAGTGTGGAGGATAAGGCTTGTACTGGAAGACCCACTGACTTTGATGATGATGCTCTCTCTGCACTAGTTGAAGCAGAACCATCTTTAACAGTTGATGAAATTGCGGAACGTTTAAATTCATCCCATGGAACTGTTCATAGACATCTACAACAAATCGGAAAAGTTTCAAAGCTAGGAAAATGGATACCACATGAACTGTCAAAAGCTAACTGACAACAACGTCAACTGCTCAACTCAAAAGCTTCAACTGGGAAATTTTACCTCATCCACCATATTTGCCAGATATTGCTCACAGTGATTATCATCTTTTTCAGAGTTTGCAGAATTTTTTAAAAGGAAAAACTTTTGAGGATGAGAACAATGTAAAAAAGACTATTTCTGAATATTTTGATTCAAACCCGAAATCATTTTACAAAGACGGGATTAAAAAGCTACCATCAAGATGGCAAGCAATTGTACAAAATAATGGTGAATACATTATAGATTGAAATAAAATTTAGTTAAAATTTTTTGTTGCTTTTTTTGTAGATAAAAATGCGCACGAACTTATGGACTGACCTGATACTTCTCACCAAGAATGGGTTTTTCCTCGGAGTTGTTTACAAAGATTTTTCCAACATCGGCGTAAAAATTGCGGATTTCACATATATATTTTAAAATTATGTTTGAAGACTGCTGGATTGGGAATATTGCCTTGATAAGTGAGGCTCTTTAGGTAGCTCCATAACCAAAAGGGGCTGTTCATAAATTATGTCTGCATTTTTTTTTGATATTTTTACTCCCCCTCCCTTCTTGTCCCAGTTTGTCCAAGATTCTGTAACCCTCTCCTCCTCTTCAGAGGTCCAACAAAACTTGACCTCCATAAAACTTTTATCACTTCATGAGTGGTAGATACTAGTGATGTAACGAATATTCGGTTACTATTCGGTATTCAGCCTATTTTTCTTTATTCGGCTGAATACCGAATATTTAATCACTATTTGGCCGAATACCGAATACCTAAACACAGGAGTAATAAATAACAAAAACACAGTAAATTAATCATTTTGGTATTTAGATTTAATGTTATTGAGTTAGTGCTGTTTGTTTATATTTATTTATAACTTGTAACATGCACAAAATAAAAAAGAAAATAATATTAGTCACATGTATTCACAATTTATAATTACAAAGATCAGCATGTGTACACGTCTGTCATTGGAGAATCGTCGCACATCTGAGGGTCTGACCCTGCCTATCCTTATTTTTAAGCGCTTGTCTTTGCTCTTCCCTTTCTCTTTCCTCTATCGCTCTAATCCACGTATGCATGTGCACACATCATAATACACGCTCACGATACTTTCGATTTGTCACTTTTCTGTCATAGATTTCCCATTTTACAATTACGTGACTCAGCCTGGTGATAACGGAGAAAAGAGACAGATAGGACGTCGATATAAGTCACAGTTATGATTTCACAGATTCGAGACAGCTTGATAGCCCGAACGGCCCCAGGCTTTCGCCCGTGGACGCTAAGTGACTTACATTACAAGCATTTAGCTTTCCAAAGTCTATGACAACAATTGTTTGGCATTGACGGGCGCGAATTTCGTGCCAATAAGCTGCCTCGACTTGTTTGATTATGTTATCGACTCAATTTCATATTTATTTTCACATTTTCACTTTGCGGTCCTTCTCTGTTTTTTTTCCCGTTATTTACACGTGCAGGTCATTTCATTGTTATCTATATTTGATATCATCATTTATCACATACTGCCATGACGCTCTTGTCTGTCCACTACAACTGCCAAGAATTAATGCGATTGGCGAAGCGTAGTGACAGCGGGCCAATAGAGAGCAGGATCCTTGCCATAATGCGGTTTGCGCGCCAATTTTCGTACATGCGTTAATTGAGTCGAATAGTTTGGTTGAATATTCGGCTATTCGGCCACGCTCCTGGCCGAATATTCGGTATTTGGCCTGAGGCCGAATATACTATTCGTTACAACACTAGTAGATACCATAAGTAGAAATGAAACATACAAGAAATTTTGAATTAAATATAATAAGATGCATAGTGTGTAAAATTTAATGAAATGAATGGACATCCACTGAAGCTCAACCCCTCTTTAATTCCTTCTTTGACTTTTGTCTGACTTTTCATAACTCCCTTCCAGTGGGGTGTCATTTATGAACAGCCCCAAAGTCATGGGGTTCAGATCTAGTGATCATGGCAACCAATGTTGGAAATGATTGGTTAATCACCTCTCACATGAAAAATGCTTTTAAGTAAAGCTTGCACATTTAAGCTGATACATAAATGTGCACCATCTTGCATAAAAATTAAGGTGTTTAGACAACTTCTCTGGTCTCATGCTGGAATGATGAAGTTTTGAAGAACATGTCCAACATTAATAGAACATGTCAATAGCCCAAATACAGCATTTTCTTCAAAATAAATAAGGGCCAATGATAAAGGATGCTGATATGTGAAAATGTGAAACTATGCCATATCATTACCACATTATCACATGTTCACTAACAAATTCCTTAATTGCCTTTAGTGAGTATAATGAAATTTATTGATAAATATGTGAATTTTTATCAGACAGTAAATTTCAGATCATGTCTTCCAATTTCCAGATTTGAGGTCCTTCAGAAAGAACACCAATGGCTCAACTCAGTTTAAGTCCATTTATTTTACAACTATTTATAAAATATACAGCAATACTTCTTGCTTGCTTCTCACAACAGTCTTAGGTCAGGCTTGTTTCTCCTTGTTCCAATGGTCAAGTTGCCTTATATCTAAGTTTTAGATCCATTGGCCAATCAATTTGGAGCTGAGTCAGTAGCTCTCCTGCGGGTCTGCCTCAGTTGGCATACCTGTCTCAACTTGTCCAGGACGACTCAGGCTAACTGACCTTTTCTGGAAAATGTGTTCTGACAAGTGGAACTTGAATTATCTTGTCCCTATTTGATAGGCCTCCTTGACACAGACTAAATATTTTGTTAGTCCTTTTATACCTGAAATTCATTTAAAAATTTAAAGGGAAAGCAGTACCAAATTTTTCTTAGTGGCTGAATTTTGAAGTAAACTTTCCCTAAAATTTGAAACTGCATACTCAGGATAGCATGTATACTAAATTTGGTTGAGATTTGCTTAATGATTTCTTTCTACAGAGAACTCTGAATACTTAATTTTGATTACCTAGTATTTGGATCTGAAGATGGAGTACAGCAAGCAGTTTTGAAAAGCATTTAATTCAGTAAAAAATTTTGTCTTCTATAAACAAAAAAATGAATCAAATCTATGCAACGAACAAAGCAATAATAAATGCAAATACATCTCACTAACCTTGTATGGCTTTGCAGATAATATTTAGAACATAACACTAATGTTTTCGACACATTTCTAGGGTTTTCTGTGTTCTATAAATTTTTCTGGTGTGATATGAGTTCAATTCCGATTTTTAAACATTCTGGTTTCCAATGCTTCTATCTTTGAAATTTATTTTTTAAAATTTCAAAATTTAAATCACTAAAAGACGCACGCCTGCACTGGCTGTTATAGCGTTAGAAATTTTTAAAATGGACTGCAAAGGCCTGTCAATCAATTCTAAAGACGAAAAACAACTATTGAGGGCATGGCAGGCTATTTATGATGCGATGCTATAACAGCCAGTGCAAGTGCATATCTTTTAGAGATTTAAATTTTGAAATTTTAAAAAATAAATTTTGAAGATAGAAGCATTGGAGACTGGAACGTTTAAAAATCAGAATCAAACTCATATCACACCAGAAAAATTTATAGAACACATGAAGAAGACCCTAGAAATGGATCAAAAATCTTAGTGAGATGTATTTGTAAAAAAATGAATGTTTTTATTTTTAATTTACACTTATTTATATGGTGATTTGTACAATGCATTATTTTGTCTGTATACTTTTTTTTAAAATCTATAATAATAACAAGGTAAGATTCCATTTATGCTTTGTTCGAATATTGTAACATACTGCCAAATTTGTCAAATTATTATTTGTTTTCAATAATAATTTAATTTAATTCAGTAAATGATTATATGAACTTGGCAGTCCAGATTAGTATACTACAGTATACAGTGAACTCTTGTATAATGTGCTCTCTTATAATGTGACAAAAAATTGTGACTAGTACTCATGCAAAATTCTAATATTGTCATTCAGTGGTATAAGTTTTCTTTTTCAACTTCTAGTCCTAGGTTTAAACTTGCATAAAATTGTCTTATAATGTATGTCTCAATAACATGATTTCCTATAACAGACATTCCCTACATTGTATGGGACTGTTGTATATTAATAATTTTAGTGATTAAATAATTTTGATTTTATAAATATTTGGATAAAGATCTTTTACCAATGTTAATACATGAAGTTATACATCAAGTTTTGTACTTTGCAATATTTAACATTAACAAGACAAAAAAACAGTATAAAACAACCACCCAAAACTGGGTAAATTTGATAACATCAGCATCCAAAACCATTCATTATTTATTTAACTCTGTTATTTTGTATGCTGAATTTTGGTTTCAGATTCTGATGTTAAAAAACAGTATTATTTACATTGTCAAAGTGTCATAGATAGAAAATTATAATTATCAGATAACAAACATTAGGAGGAGACTCAAAATGGTTAAGAGTTAGGACATTTATTTGGATTAAGCACTTTTTGGGAATTTCAAGCCTATCTTCAGATCAACAACATTTGATGTTCTATTCAAATGCATTTAATGTTTATTTTATTGCTTACATTTTATTCATATTTTGGTTGAATTTATCTTGTTTATGCTTTCATAGTTGCTTCTTTTACACTAGCAATGAACTGATCCAATATAGTGAACATGGCTCTGATTTCTTCAGCCTGAAGGTCATGGATGCTAGCCCATCATTTGCTGTGTATTAATCTCAGACAAACACCCTTCAATCTTCTGCTATCACAAAGCATGTATGGAGCACTTACTTTTTTTTGACAGCTTAAGAATTTTCAATGTGGTTAAAGCCTCTTCCACATGACTTCAGTGTTACATTTCTCCAAACATTTCTTGTGTGTAACAGTCAAGATTTTGTGAATGATCCAAGATGTTGAGAACCTTACAATGTTTTAAATTCACTGATTCATCTATTATTAAGCATACATCACAATTGTTACATAAGTTTATGATTTCTTGTAGTTCAACATTTTTGAGACCTGACTGTTAAGAAGTTAGTTAATTCTGCACTAAATAAAGACTTGCTGTTTGTGAGATACATAATGTAACCAAACAACAGTGCTTCATAGATTATTTGTTTCTGAGGCGATTCACAAGGAAGGTAAGCATTTTCAACCAGCCTTGAAAAAATGCAGATTGCCAATCTTTCTGTTGGGGAAAAATTTGCTCAGATTCATTACCACTAAATTAAACTCATATTACTCTTCTCTCTCTTCCCCAGCATGTCTAATGAAAGAGATTAATAATAATCTAACAGCATGTAAAGTACTATATTATTTTTCCGACTTTCCAACGATTATCGACACTACTGTGTGCCGGAAATAGCCGTTCCCTAACGGGTACTTTACGCGGATTCGCGTTAGTGTGCCAGGCCTGGACTTTAAGCGTGCACCGAATTAAATAATGACAAAGTTTGTCAATAACAAAATCAAATATTTAATTAAACTTCTAT